AAGGCCAAGAATATAAAATAAAACCTATGCCTCCACTACCAATAATGTAATATATATATATATATATATATATATATTGAGAAAAATAAATCATGAAAATTTACCTCCAGCTCTAGTCATCCAAAGCTTCCCAAGTCTAAAAAAAAAATAAAAAATAACACAAACCTCAGTATAATATAATTCACATGTTAATTAAATTCTAAAAAATATCAAGAGAATTCTGGATTATATTTTTATCCTAATCTATTTTCTATAAAATATGACTTGATAATAATCAAATTTAATAGACAGGCTAAAATCCAAACTTGATGGAGTTCTTGTTATACTTCCAAAAATAGAGTTTTTCAATAATAAAACTCTTAATTTTTTTTATTTTAATTGTATATATTTAATAATTATAAATAAAATTATATTGTGTAATTGAGCCACATCATGACTCTATATTTCAACAAAGAGACCCCATATGTCATTATACTCTGTAATAAGTCTTGACTTTCCCACTCTCAAAAGCGCACCATACACATATGTCATTGTACTTTATCGAACACTCCAAACGTAATTAAATTAGACAATTAATTGTAAGTGAGAGAAGTTAATGAATTTCCACTCTAAAATGTTCAAATTCATTATCCGTTTTCAACTTTATCCTGATTAAATCAGGTTAAGTAGATTACTTTCTTCATCCGTGGGTATCCACTAGATATCCTAATCTATTTTTTAATTAATTTTATAAAAATAAAACCTAAACTAAAAAAATAAAATAAAAATCCCTCATTTGTGAATCATAAAACCATTAAATTAAATATAAAACTAAGAGATGTGGTTAGTTTAGTGTTGTTGCACTGCGGACAAAAACTCAAAATATCACGGGTTGAAATAGTGTTTTAATTTATTTATTTTTGAAAGTTTTTTCATTGGAGTCATCAAACACTTTTAATTTTTTTTTTGACATTTCATTAATCGAGAATTTGAACTTATTGATTGGTTTTGATTGGTCTTCTATAATGTTTTTTTGAAAAATTAAATTTTTTTACATTTAGGGTGATGTTGTATTTTACAAAATAAAATCCTATTTTATTACATACAAAAATTTAAGACTTGAGAGGCCAAAATTGACAGTTAGCAAGAATTTAAGCGTTTTTTATTTGATAAATGTTCATTTCCCACAATTTTATTTTGAAAATTTATGTTCGGATACAAAAATCAATTTTAATCATATTTCAGTCTTTGAATTTTTTTTAAAAATCATTGAAAATAGCAAGGAGAAAGAAACACATACACTGACAAGGTTTTGTTTGCAAAAATAGCTAAAATGTGTGTCAAAGTGTTATTCTTGACAAGAAGAATGCTACCATAATGTTTTTAAGCTTTATATTGCCAAAAATAGGTTAAATTTTGTGTTTTAAAATTATTCTAGAATTTCTTTTAAGGTAATTGATTAGTTTAAAGATAATCTAAAAGTATCTATAAGGTGTTTTTAGATTAAAATATATTAAAACTAAAATTTTAAATAAAAAACTCCAACTCAATTCTTCAACCACTTTTGTATGATAAAAAAAGAAGAAGCAAATGATGTGAAAAAAATAAAAATAAAGCAAGCAAATAATTGTCATCTGTTTTATTTAAAAAAAAAATAATAAAAAACAAATACCATGTCATCCATCAAAGAAAAAATAAAATGGCTATTTCATCTTTTGGATAAGCATGCCGAGTCACTTGGCCCCACAAACATGGCTTGTTTTTAGCCTTTTTTTTTTCAATCTTTATCCTTGAGTTTTAATTTTATTTCATTGAAATTATTTATTTAAAAACACATCAAGGATATTATTTTAGTAAATACTTAAATTATTAAGAATATATATGAAATATTATTTTATTAGATATCATTTAATTTTTACTTTATTTTAAAATAAAAATATAATATTCTTTTTATAATATTAATAAGAGATTTTTTGGACAACCTATCTTTTTTTTTTTTTTTATGTGAGGTATTCGGGCCAGCTTGCGCGCACCATAACTAATCTCCACAGCCCACTGAATATCCTGCAAATTCAGTAAACATATAAGACACCGTGGGGATGATAAACATACATGCTAGGACTCGAACCCAGATAAAATAGAAAGAAACAAGCCTTTCCACCCGCTAGCCAACCTATCTTGATATTCCTTGTCTTGGCACAGTCGCTGTCAAAGACTATAATAATAGATTCCATGGAAAACATTAAGGGTAAGATTAAACTACTAAAAAATAATTGACTAAAAGAGTCTATGGAGCCAATTTTCTTAATAATTGACTGCGATTCTTTCTCTAAATTACCAACCATTCAGAATTGTTTTGTGCGTGAGGATGCCAAATTACCAAACCTAAAACCTTATTTATAATCCATCACTATCAATAGTGATGCAAGAGTTCCAGCTTGTTTTCTGCAGCTGTGCCAAAACCTGCAGGGTCTATACTAGCCCAACAGTGTCCTTCCCCCGTCTTAAGGTAAGAGCCCAGCAGTGTCCTTCCTCCGTAGTAGAGGGGTCCATGCACGAGATGGCCAGAGATAGTAAGTGATTTCAGAATATGCCTTCTCAGACTGCAACAGTTGATAAGGTTTTGTGGCTGTCATGGCGAAGGCAAATTTAAAGCACATGAGATTCAGTGGTGGGAAGCTATGGAACGTGGCAAAAAGAAACTGCGAGAACGTGAAACATGCATTTGAACATGAAGAAGTAAATAAGCTGAACATAATTAATGGGCCATAGAAGCGAAGGTTTTTTCAATGGGTTCAGACTTTTTGGCAGCGTGCTTCATTATTGTCGCCGCATTTCTTGGCAGTGTGCTTGCGTGAATCGTGGATGTATCACATGGATGATATTTTCGTTCTTATGAGGCATCAAATAACATGGTGTCACGAGAATTAAGCAAATAGAAAAGCGTTAAATTTACGGAAATCTTTTCCTGTTCTGCGAGGGGAAGGAGTTAGTGGTCTTGGTGTAGCTGTTGGCTTTGCTAACTTCTCCAAGCTCACCACTAATCCTATCTGTCCTTTGCGTCCCATGAACTGATACAAGCAATAGCCTGCCCGTGATTCTGGCTTTAATTGACTGCAGGCATGTTCATCTACAAACGCAGGTGTCCACCGTTCAAATAACTGCTATGAACCCAGTTTCCACCTGCTGGGATTTCATTTTTCTTAGTTATGAGTTCGAATTAATACTGCTTTCTTGATTCTGAAATCCGTCTCAACAAGTAATGTGAGAAGGCAAAGAGGGGGAAATGACGATCCAGTTGCTTGGATTGGAAACTCTAGCTTCTTTTACGGTGGAGATGCAACGGTTTCATTGTATAATGTTGGTTAAGTCACAATCAGCCCAGTTTTTGTATTTAATCAGCATTACAATTACTGGAATATTTGCTCCATAGGTGAAGCTGTTTCTTCATCTAGCCACATAGGAAAAAAGAGAGCGGCACAATGGCATCATGCATAGCATTTTCCTTTAGGAATGACAAAAACCTCATATCAAGGGATTGAGCTATGAGAACAACCATCAACCATGGATTCCCAAGTTTCAAATGGATCACAGGATTCACAAAAACACAGAGAGCTGTTTATTTATTTTTCGTATCCAAATACAGGACACGAAAACCCTTCAGCTTCACACTTCATAGATACATAACGATAACAGGAGAGACATCCCCACTATATTCACACACATGCAACAAACATCTTCCATTGCATACTTAATACAGCAGAAAGCCCATAAAACCAGACACAAGCAGCGCTTGCCTGCTTAAGCTCTGCGGCACACATCTCCATCGCAGATCCTTCCTTCCGTTCCCTTTTCACTTCCAGTATCTTCATCTACCTTCAAAGCACACTTGGGGTGAAGATCAAAGTCACATTGTTTGCAATGGAAAGACCACCTATATCCCGTTTCCCCACAGCCATCGCAACCATATGCACTGCGTTTAGTACGTATCAGCTCATGCTCAGTATGAAGTTCGTGTTTCACTTTCTCTGGCCACCCCTTTGCCTTCTCCTCAAGCTCCTCCTCCAATTGCTTTAGATGTTCCTCGGTAAATGGAAAAGCATCTGCCCCGTAAGCTGTCAAGTGCATCCGAGCTTCCTTGGTAATGGTCCGGCCACTTGGGCCAATCGCTACAGCTGCAGGAATGCCTTCAAA